GTTTAGTTCCACCAAACTCCTGAAAAATGTACTATGCAAAAAGAAGATTTTCCGTCACATCAAACTTACGGTACATGCATGGAGTACTAAATGTAGACGAAATAAAAAACTAATTGCACAGTTTAATTGTACTTTACGAGTCGAATCTTTTGAGCCTAATTAGTCAATGTTTGGATAATAATTCACAAATACAAACGAAAACGCTACAGTAACGCATTAATTATTTGGCCACTCCCAAGTCCGAGAACTAAACAAAGCCTAAGAGACTACAGAGTACAGACAAGGTAGCTAGCTCGTGTAGCAGGAACATTCGAAGAAGCAGCGCTAGACTAGACAGCCATATGGCTGCCTGCGTTGCAGCACTTTGCCCTGGGTGTTTTGTACGGTGAGCCGTTAGCGTACAGTATGTAAGCCTGCACGCAAAGAATCGATATAGAGAGTGGCGAAAAGGATGGGCGACGGTACAGCCGGCGAACAGAGACAGGCCACATAAGCTAACGGCCGGCAGCTGTTGCACTGGGGTAGATGACAGTTGACAGGTCGTCGATCGAGCAGCGAGTGAAAGCGAGAGGAAAGGCAAGCATGCAGAAAACGAGGCCCGAACCCTTGGGACGTTGCGACCAGCCCAAGTTAGCAGCGTCGACTCACGTTCCATCATCATCTACCTCTATCGCGCATTACGGTTACGTGGCGGTGCAGCGGTGCTGCCACTGGAACGATCGAGTCATCGAGAGCGCGATAAAAAGTCGGAGGCTCGCAGGGTTTTTAAATTTCTTTTATTTTAATCTCTCTCCTGTCGATCCGCGCCTCGATAGATAGATGTCTAGCTTGTCCCTTTTCGCTTGCAATGGTTGGTGACTTGTGCAGAAACGACAACAAAAGGGGAGGAGGATCGGAGACGAAGTAGATCAGATGGGTTTACGGTCTCTGGGCTCGCTCTGAATCGACAGTTTCCTACCATGCAAGATCCCGAAGACGAAGTGCAGCCATTTTTTTCCGACATGTCATGTCCGCGCAGCGGCAACCTACGACTTTGGATGGTGTCGGTTCGATCGCAATCACCAAAGTAGGTACGCCGACGATGGCATATATTCTTCTCCGTTCCATGATCCATCCCTAGCTACATGCGGCAGCTAGCATATAATAACGTTTCGATGTGCCGTATATATTACGGAGTACATACATACGTACGTAGATATATATACACACCGTACCTGCTCTCTCTTTCTGTCGCTTCGATGTGCCGTGCAGGCGTGCACCGTTCACCGCGTCGAACAGACGACAGAATCATCACCGGTATCACGTCCACGTTCATCAGCATGCACACAACAACGCGTGCGCGGACGTACTGTGGAACGGATCCATGCATCTTATTAAAGGGACGAAGACGCGCGCGGTGAACGGCGATCGCTGAAACTGAACAGATAAATCGGATAAGATCGGTCTGCGAACAGCTAGTAGCTAGGATTAGCGTGGAGCATCAGCTGTTTCCCTATCAGGGACCTCAAGGAGCGAAGGACCAACCAGCAGTACGTCCTGGCTCCTGGCCTCCTGCGTTTACGTAAGATCGATCGGGATCAGCGGCAGATCGAGTTGCATTGCCCGGCTGGCATCTGTCCTTACTAGCTCGGCCTCTCCTGCTGTGCAATGGCCGGGCTGGCTTCATTCCGTGCGTTGCGAATTTCGCAATCTAACTTGCACGTTTCGCTCATCAGGTCAACTGTATACCCTGTTTTCATCAAGGGAAAAAAACAAGTGTTGTTCTCTGGTCAAACGATACTTAATTAGTTTAGGCACGCGCATTCTTTTGCCCAAGCTACAATGGTTCATTCAGTGAAACCTTAAGGACTGCATGGCTTAGGGTTTAGCAATCCTTACACTTTCACTCGTGCCAGCTTCATTTTCGCAATTCGTGTCGTTAGTTGTACTCCCTGCACTCCAAAACAAATACACATCTCGCTTATAAGGGCTTCTCTTTTTTTTATCGAAGTCAGCAGGGAAACCCAACCTATTTTTTATAATTTTTTATTCCAGATCTTTTTAATTCGCTCTCATGGGGAGTCGAATCCAGGCTTGCTGGATGCTACTCAGGTGTTCTAACCACTAGGCCAGAGGCCCTTTCGCTATAATAGACTTATTTAGAGATACAAATATTGGTATTGTTTTTTTCTATACTTAGTTAAACTTAAAAAAAGTTTGACTTCTCCATAAATAAGATGTGCATTTATTTTTGGGACAGAGGAAGTATGCGTTAAGCTTAGGCTAACTGTGCATATCATGCATCGTGAGTTCGTGACCTCTGTAAAATCATATTGAACAGTTCTCGCTCAAACCTAATGAACGCGAACCTGGCCGGGTTAGCGGGAATGTCCACGTGAATCTGGCCTGTTGGTTCTCACCTACCCCGACTACAGTTTAATATTAGATTAGCATATTGTTCTGATATATGCAATAGGTCTTTATTTGATTTTGCATTCCAACTTGCACTTCGCACATCAAGTCAATCATATCATATTAGAGAATGAAAAACAGTTCTCTAGTCAAATGATAGTTGATTAGATTACGTATATGCAGTGGCGGATGCACGATGCGGGATAAGGGGGGCTAAAACAATGGAGATGTTGATTTGCATGAAGATTTAATGGTGAAATCAAGCTTTTGCTATAGTGATTAGGCTTGAAATCAAGACATTAGGGGGGCTGGAACCCCCCCCCAGCCCCCCTTTGGATCCGCCACTGCGTATATGCATGTCCTTTTTTTCTAGAGTGATCTAGGTGGTGTTTAGTTTCCAAAATTTTGTAAAATTTTTCAAGATTATCCGTCACATCGAATCTTTAGACGCATGCATGAAGCATTAAATATAAATAAAAAATAAAACTAATTACACAGTTTAGACGAAATTCACGAGACGAATCTTTTAAGCCTAATTAGACTATGATTGGACACTAATTATCAAATAACAATGAAAGTGCTACAGTACCGTTCCCAAAAAATTTCGCCAACTAAACAAGTCCCTATATATTTTGCCAAGCTGCAATGGATCGCACAGTAAAACCAAGGACACGCAGATCGATCCAATCCAAGAGGGCAGCATGCAATAGATTGAACAATTGAGATCTTTTCAAGTAAACAACAGCTTATTATGCAAATATATGCCTCCTTTTTTTGTGAGGACCTCTAAAAGCCCATGTGCGCAGTAGAGCTACCATTTTGTATTGGGCTTGGGCTTCAAGCCATGCAAACCGTAATGTTTCCCCACATTATTATTGAAAAGTCGGTCGGTATGCAACCTGGATGACATTTTAATGCGGGCTATTTATAAAACACGAGATGGGTCTGAGCTTATTACGGGTTGGACTTTTAATTTGGCTTCGAAGCTCTCGATGGTCCTTTAAGGTGATGACCAAAGGGAAGAATGTACACTAGCATTTCTCTTTATGGATATGTCTAGGTGACATTTAATTGTTTTGGCTCCTTTTGTCAAGTGAATTTTTCTCATGTACTTACACTGTCATCTAGATACAATTACACTGTCTTATTATTATATTCACAATGATTTCTTCAGCGTAATTTATTGGACAGAGTGATATAATTTGGGATAACACAAGATCTCAAGCAAATATATGCCAAATTTTCAAAAAAAATTACAAATTTTTTCTATGAATTTCAGATACCATAAAAATATATATCAAATTATTCACAAATATCATCAAATTGTTCAAATTTACAAATTAACAAATGGAAGAATAGAGACAGAGAAGAATAGAGTGGAAGAACAAGGGAGAGGAAGCAGAGGATGGCTGCTCACCGGGACGGCAGCGCCCGCCGAGAGCCGAAGGGTCCGCCGGCCGTCTGGCCTGCCCCTGGCGCAGCCATGCAGGCGGCCTGTGCAGCTCCGCGCCTCCGCAGCTGGGCGACCGACGGGTCCCTGGCTGTGCCCGCCGGTCGGCTGGGCTTGGCCCCAGGCGCAGGCAGGAGCCCCAGGCTCGCAGCCCCCTGTCACAGGCGGTGGAGGCCGAAGCAGCATGCGGAGTCGCGTCGTGAGTCTAGGGGTCGGAGGTGTGCGAGTCTGGGGGGCGGAGTCGCGCACCGCGGTCTCAGGGGCGGAGGCGGAGGCGGAGGCGGAGGCGGGGAGGAAGCGACGAGCGTGGAGGTGTGCAACGGATCGGACCGTAGATCCGACCGTAGGCATGGCGCGGAATCGCGGACGCTGTCAAGTCAAAGAGTCTAGCTAGCTGTGTAGTTCCCCGCCCCCGTTGTTTGCGCGATCCACTTATTCCTCGCTTCCAATGCATGCCTTGCCACCTTTCGTTCTGCATCTTCCTCCGGTTACTGGCCTTCCCTTCTCCAACTTGTTTCTGTCTTCGACTCTTCGTGTCTCCGGCAAGCACGCGCTAGCTTAGCGCCCTGCTCCACACGACCCACGCGCTTGCATTGTACGTCAGCACCTCCACCTCCACGGATCGGCGCTCGGCGGCATTGATGCGCGGCACGACGACGACGACGCGGCGGGCGTGTCATGAGGAAGCTGTGCCCGAACCTGGACCGCGACGACTCCCTGGACACCGTGCTGGAGGTGCCCATCCCCAATGAGATGCTCATCAACGCCCCCGGCGCCGGGGGCGCCAACATGCGCGCCTAGCTCAAGAACCAGGCCTTCGATCGCGCCACCGTCGACGGCCGGCCTCCGCCACTGCGGAGCTCCAGCTGTTCCTCAACGTCGTCGGATCGCCGCTCATCCCCTGCCCAGTCCCGCACGACCGCGCTTTCAGCCGCTCCATTTGCGACTCCTCCATCGTAAGCCACCCACCATCATCATCCTGCCTGCCATCTGCCATGCATGCATGCTGCGTCTTTTACGCGCGCGCGCGCGTACATCCAGAATCTGACTCGGTTCTTGATCGATCGATCGACTCGAAGCAAGCGTCGACGGCCAGGTACATCATCCAGCAGTACATCGCGGCGACGGGCGGGCAGGCGGCGCTGCAGGGGTGCGGAGCATGTACGCCGTTGGGAAGGTGCGGATGTGCGCGTCCGAGTTCCACCTCGGCGACCAGACGGTCACCACCGTCGCCACGCAGGGCCGCGCCGAGGTCGGCGGCTTCGTGCTCTGGCAGAAGACCCCCGAGGTCTGGTTCTTCGAGCTCATCATGGCTGGCCACAAGATGAGCGCCGGCAGCGACAGCAAGGTCGCGTGGCGCCAGTCCGCCGCCGAGCAGTCCCACGCCTCGCGCGGCCCGCCACGCCCCCTCCGCCGCTCTCTCCAGGTAATATGAAGCGCCACCAAGGCACGTGCATGCCGATGCCGTGCAGGCATGCAATGATGCAATGCATAGCGTTCAGCTCCTAATTCGATCGTGCTCCTTTTATTATTCGCAGGGCCTGGATCCACGCTCCATCGCGAACCTCTTCTCCGACGCGGTGTGCATAGGCGAGAAGATCCTCAACAACGAGGAGTGCTTCATCCTGAAGCTGGAGGCCGGCGCGTCAACGCTGCGGGCGCGGAGCGCCCCGGCGTTCGACATCATCCACCACACGGTGTGGGGCTACTTCAGCCAGCGCACGGGGCTGCTCATCCAGCTCGAGGACTCGCACCTGCTGCGCATGAAGTCCGGCAAGGGCCACCGCCGCAGCGAGAACATCTTCTGGGAGACCAGCATGGAGTCCGTCATCTCCGACTACCGCTGCATCGACGGCATCAACATCGCGCATGGCGGCCACACCAACGTCACGCTCTTCCGCTACGGCGAGGGGTCCGTCAACCACAAGCGCAAGCTGGAGGAGACGTCGACGGTGGAGGAGGCCGATTTCAATGTGCACGGCCTCACCACGGACTACTTCCTGCCGCCGGCCGACCACAAGAAGGACGTCGACGATCAGAATAAGTAGTGATCGGCTAGCGTTTGATTTTTGACTTGTATATTAATTGGTTGGAGGACATCGAAATTCTTCATCCATGCAATTTTTTTATATAGCAGTAGTGTTAGGCCCTGGGATGACCGGCTCGGGTGAGCCGATCGCTCACCAGCGTTGTCGACCACAAACTATAACTACAGATAAAAGAAGAGAGAGAACGGAACGATATATACACAGCACAAGTATCAACGTTGGCCGAAGCTCTGCAGACGTGTCAGGCTACCATGCTGCTACAGTGACTAGATGTGACAACATGACTGACTTTGGCGCCTGTCTATCCTGTGGCTACAGTGCGGCAGGAGAGCCTTTCGACGCCTGCCCCTACCGCTGCTACAATGCAACAGCAGAGAGAGCCCTTTCGGCGCTCTGTCCCTACCACGCGCTCAGAGAAGAGCAGCAGATTACTTAACAATTTTTCCCCTAATCCTGCTGCTAACCCTAGAACCTCCACCATGTCGATCATCTTCATCAGCTCCGTGAATCGAAGATGGCCGAGCGGCTTGGTGACGACGTCCGCGAGTTGCCGACCAGTTTCGACGAACTTCGATGACGATCTACCCTCCATCGACACAGTCCCTGAGGAAGTGAAACTTTACATCGATGCGCTTGCTCCAGTCATGAAGAACCGGATTCTTCACGAGGGGCGATGGCGGGCTGGTTGTCCACCATTAGTGCTGGTGGGTGAGCTTTCACACCGATCAACTCGCCCATCAGCCGGCGCAGCCACCCAGCTTGGCACGTCGCTGTGGCCGTCGCTCAAGGGGCCTGCCGTAGTCCGTAGAGCGCCTTGCGCAGTCGGAGCACCCTGTGCTCTGCTCCCTGGATGGCGAAACCCAGAGGTTGCCTGATGAAGACTGTCTCCGCCAGCTCGCCGTTGGGGAAGGTCGATTTTACGTCTAGGTGATGGACGTGTCAGTCCTTCGCTGCTGCCAAAGCCAGCAGCAGTCAAACAGATTCCATGCGCGCTATCGGCGCAAAGACTTCCTCGAAGTTGATGCCCTCGTGCTGGACAAAACCTCAAGTGACGAGGCGCGCCTTGTGCTTGACAATAGCGCCGCGCTCGTCCCGCTTGACCTTGTACACCCACTTCAGGCTGATCGAACGGTATCCTGGAGGTGGATCGACGAGCTCCCAAGTCTCGCTTTCCTCGATCGCCTTCATCTCCTCCAGCATCGCTCGTCGCTAATTCACATCACGCTCGGCCAGCGCGAACGTGGGTGGTTCCTCTGCACTGACGAGAAGCAGCTCTGGGTCATTGAGTAGCCGACGCGCCAGGCCTGAGGGCCCTATGCCATGGACGATGTCATCCAGCCTGCGAAACCGCACCTCCTCACCGTTGTGGAAGGCATCCATGAACTCAGTGATGTCGCTTGAAGGTGAGGTGAACTCGATCGGCGTCGATGGAGTCCCTTGTTTCATTGGAGTGGTCGGCACAGCACCTGGAGTGCTCGACACCCTGGCTACAGTGCTCGGCACTACTCCTGGACTGCTCGTCACCACTCCTGGAGTGGTTGTCACCACTGCAGGAGTGTTCGGCACCAGTCTTGGAGTGGTCGGCACCACTACAAGACCTCTTGGCTCCGCTACGGGAGCGTTCGGCACCAGTCCTGGACTAGTCGGCACCACTGTAGGACCGCTCGGCACCACTCCTGGAGTGCTCGGCACCCCTCTCGGCATGCTCGGCACCGTCCCATGAGTGCTCGGTTCTGTTGCTAGAGTGGTCGACACCTCCTCTCCAGCGTCTCCACCACCATGGATGACCAAGTGCTCGACGACGAAGGTGCTGGTGAAGCCGCTAACTTCCTCGTGCCCGGACTGTCCCAGTCCTAGGCTGCCTTCTCGTTAAACACGATGTCACATGAGACAACCACCTTACCTCCGCATGGGTCATAGAGCCAGTACACCTTGGTATCTTCCTCATAGCCTAGGAGCACCATCGGTGTGCTCCTGTCCTCCAGCTTGGTGAGGACCGGCTTCGTCTTCCTGACGTGATCGATGCAGCCGAATATTCGGAGGAAGGACATGCTCGGGTTACTCCCATACCAAGCTTCGAATGGCATCTTGCCCTTTAGGGCCTTGGTGGGCGCACGGTTGAGGATGAACACCGTCGTGGTCACCGCCTCACCCTAAAACCTCACTAGCATGCTCTTGGCCTTCATCATGGATCGAGCCATGCCGACCACCGTCTAGTTCTGCCGCTCCACCACACCATTTTGCTGTGATGAGTATGGCGTGGTGTGGTGTTGCACCACATCCTGATCTGCGCAGTATGCAGCGAACTCCACCGAAGTGAATTCATCGCCGCGATCAGTCCGCAGCACGCGTAGCTTCTTGCCGCTCTCCGCCTCCGTGCACGCCTTGAACTTCTTGATCGCCTCTGCTGCCTTGTCCTTGCTCGTCAGGAGTTGCAACCACATATAGCGACTACAATCATCCACAAGCAGGAGAAAGTACCGTTGTCCGCCGTTTGTGGCTGGCGTAATTAGCCCACAGAGATCGTCGTGGACGAGCTCGAGAGCGTCCATCACGCGATACTTGGCCACCTTTGGGAACGGTAGCCTTCTCTGCTTCTTGGTTAGGCAGCTGTCACACAGCTCGCCTGCATGCTTATGTGGGGCAGCCCTTGGACCATCTTCTCTAGCCGACCGACCGTGTCGAAGCTGAGATGGCCGATCCGGGCATGCCACAACCACAACTCAATAGTGTGCGTGCTGCCAGGCACACTGGCTGCACCACCTTTAAGTCAAGCAGGTACAACCGGTTTCGGGACCTCTTCACCTTGATAAGAAGGTGTTGTTCCCGATCTCTGATCCTAAGGACTCCATCCTTGATCAGTACCTCGCTACCGCGCTCATCTAGTTGACCAATATTAATGATGCTTGAACGTAGCTGCAGGATATAATATACATCCATCAGCACGTGTGAAAGGTCCTAATGGCTATAGGAGGGTGAATAGCCTATTAAAAATTTATACAACAATACTTAACAAACCGGTTAGACAATTATGAGGTGAAGCAAGTGTTGCGCTAGCCTACTAAAATTGCAAGTCACCTACCACAATTCTAGTTTATATGATTTCTATCCACACAATAGCTATGTCACTATACTAAGTTAGTGCGCCCTCAAAAGCTAACTAAAGAGCCACACTAACCAAACTAACAAGCTCTCACAACTAGCTACACTAAAGAGCTTGTCTAACAAGCTCTCATAACTAGCTACACTAAAGAGCTTGACAACTAGTTTGCGATATTGTAAAGAGAGAGAGCAAGATAGTTATACCGTCGTGTCGAGGAGTGAACCAATCAATCACAAGAGTCAATATTAATGAAGACCAATCACCTCGGAATCAAATAATGAACACAATGATTTTTATCGAGGTTCACTTGCTTGCCGGCAAGCTACTCCTTGTTGTGGCGATTCACTCACTTAGAGGTTCACGCGCTAATTGGCATCACACGCTAAACCCTCAATAGGGTGCTGCACAACCAACATAAGATGAGGATCACACAAGCCACGAGCAATCCACTAGAGTATATTTTGGCTCACCGCCGGAGAAAGGTCAAGAACCCCTCACAATCACCACGATCGTAGCCGGGGACAATCACCACCCTCCGCATGATGATCCTCACTGCTCCAAGCTATCTAGGTGGCGGCAACCACTAAGAGCAACAAACGAATCCCGCAGCGAAACACGAACACCAAGTGCCTCTAGATGCAAACACTTAAGCAATGCATTTGGATTCTCTCCTAATCTCACAAAGATGATGAATCAATGATGGAGATGAGTGGGAGGGCTTTGGCTAAGCTCACAAGGTTGCTATGTCAATGCAAATGACCAAAAGAGTGAGCTTGAGTTGGCCATGGGGCTTAAATAGAAGCCCCCACGAAAAAGAGTCATTGTACCCCTTCACTGGGCACAACGCGGGGTGACCGGACGCTCCGGTCATATTGACCAAACGCTGGACCTCAGCGTCCGGTCACGTGATGCGTGCCACATGTCCCCTCTCTTCAAATGTTGATCGCCCGATCTCAACGGTCAAGTGACGACCGGACACAACAGCTCAAAGTGACCGGATGCTGAACCCCAGCGTCAGGTCGTTTTCAGTAAGCATCTAGAGATGACTTTTCACGACCGGACACGTCCGGTCATGCTCTACCGGACTCTCCCAGCGTCCGGTCACACGGTAACTCTTCTGTGCGCTGTAGCGTCAGCCGGACCGGACGCACCCCTCCAGCGTCCTGTCACTAAGTGACCCAGCGTCTGGTCAGAGACCGACACCAGCGTCTTCACTGCTTCTACTAACCGGACGCGTTGGTCCAACCAAGGCCAGTGTCCGATCACTAACAGTGACCTCTGTCTTTTCCGTCTAGGGCACCGGTGGCACCGTCAGACTGTCCGCCGGTGAAGTTCCTAACCCTTGCTCAAATGTGCCAACCACCAAGTGTATCACCTTGTGCACATGTGTGTTAGCATATTTTCACAAACATTTTTAAGGGTGTTAGCACTCCACTAGATCCTAAATGCATATGCAATGAGTTAGAGCATCTAGTGGCACTTTGATAACCATATTTCGATACGAGTTTCACCCCTCTTAATAGTATAGCTATCGATCCTAAATGTGATCACACTCACTAAGTGTCTCGATCACCAAAACAAAATGGCTCATACCATTTATACCTTTGCCTTGAGCCTTTTGTTTTTCTCTTTCTTCTTTTCAAGTCCAAGCACTTTATCATCACCATGTCATCACCATCATGATGTAATGATCTTCATTTGCTTCACCACTTGGAATGTGCTACCTATCTCATGATCACTTGATAAACTAGGTTAGCACTTAGGGTTCTATCAATTCACTAAACCCAAACCAGAGCTTTCAATCTCCCCTTTTTGGTAATTGATGACAACCCTTTCACAAAGATATGAATTGAAATTCAATTGAATCCATGTTGCTTGTCCAAGCATATTTACTATG